TCTTTCCCACAGATCATGGCGATGCTCAGCCATTTGATGGACCACAAGGCACTTTGGCTCATGCTTTTGCTCCTTCTCCTGGAATCGGTGGAGATGCACATTTCGATGATGATGAGTTTTTCACCTTGGGCTCATCAAAAGGTGATATTATTTTGCTGAAATATTTTTCAAAGTTTCAACTTTGACACCACTTTAATTTCAAGTAAAAAAATCTAAAGTGGCAATTAATCTTTTTCATTTGTACCTAAACTATTCTGCTTCATTTCTCCACAGGTCATGTCCTGTTCTTGGTGGCTGCACATGAGTTTGGTCACTCTTTGGGTCTTTCTCATACTAACGTTCCTGGCGCTCTGATGTTTCCCACATACAGCTTTACTGATCCGGATAGTTTCTCTCTGTCCAGTGATGACATCAGTGGGATTCAGTCGCTCTATACGTAACCGGCCTCAAACATGGAAGGATGAGAGCTAGTAACTGTAGGAAATGATAAGATACACACAGATTAGAATCTACAGTGTTCTGGCGCTTTCTTTAATGTCTTTTTCCTTTTTCTTACTTTTTTTTCTCCTCTTGCAAATAACAGGCAAGTATAACACGTTTGAAATCATAACTATTAACAATATTCCTTTACAGGTCATGCTTTCTGGACAAGTCAATTCACAGCATTTAAACTGATGTCCATTAAGTCGGCGAATGATGCATTTGAACATTTCTGTTTGGTTGTACATTTTTATGCAACAATAAACATCTAGATACAACTAAACACCTGTCTTGTGCCTTACCATCAGCATATGTGTTCACTCAACACTTCAATTGGTCTTTAATGTTTCACTTTGTCTATTTTAGATATAGTGTCTCAGATTCACTACAATGCAACAGCACTTATATTTGATGGAATAACCAGTTAATAAAAATCAACAGTCTTAATTGATACAGGTATGATGTTTTTAACCCTTACAAGTGTAAATTTTACAGAAAACCACAAACAAAATGGACTAAAGTCACTATAGCACATTGTTCAGCTCAACCTGGGAAATCTATCAAGATTACACAGGGAATGTAGATTGTTTCACATTTCTTACTTACACTTCACATTTTTAACAGTATCATGAATTTTTAACTCTGTTTACTCAACTAGAAATTACATCATTACACTGAATCGCAAATAAACTAATCTGTTTTAAAACTCGACCATCACTTTAACAGTACAAACATCATATCTGAACATTTATGAACCTCTTAAGTTTCAATATTGACAGATATTAATCTATATAACCCATTTTACATACCTGTAGGAAATGTTGAGAAACACACAGATTAGAATCTGCAGCGTTCTGGCGCTTTCTTTAATGGCTTTGCCCTTTTGCCAGAATGTAAATGCCTCATCACGGCATCTTACAGAAGACACTTAAATTCATGTAACATTAGAACACATTTTTAAAGAGTCTCTTAAAGAATAAAACTGAAGAAAAAGAGGAAAACATTTTTTTTTGGGTGCCCATTATTACTCAATATTTTGATCTTTCACTCTCACATTTCCAGTCTGTCACATATGGTATGATCATCAAGAGATTATCTATCATTTTTGAGTCAAAAATATTGAGTTGTTTGTTTACTATGTGGTAATTACATCAGGTCTAACTGATTCAGAACCAGCTTGTCAGAACCTGGTCTGGGATGCAGTGACGACTTTTAAGGGAGAAACAATGTTCTTTAAGGACAGTTTATACATAAAACAGACACCAGTCTTGTGTATTTTCGATATACAGTAGAAACATAAAATATTTAAATTGAATATCTCTCTCTTCAGCTTTTTCTGGCATAGATCTCAGAGCAGAAGTTTAGCACAACTTTCGATAAAAGTTTCTGACCCAACGCTCCGGATAATATAGATGCTGCTTATGAGGATCCAGTGCAAGATAAACTTTTCCTATTCAAATGTATCTTCTCAAACAATCTGGGAATGCTGAGAACACAATCACCCTTACGATCTCTATATCTGTGCACAGAAACAAAACTCTTATCGTGGCCTGTATTTATTTATAGGTAAACAAGTCTGGGCGTTTAATGACAAAAATCTTGAGCCCGGCTATCCTAAACCTCTCAGCAGCTTTGGTCTGCCAGCATCTGTGACAAAAGATGAAGATGGATAAAGGGAATCCCAAACGAGTGGAAAATGGATTTCCAGGGTTGACTGGAGAGGTTACAGATCTGCAACAATACAAATAAATTATTCTAGCATTAACGTATAATTTCATGAAGTTCAATGACTTCTTTTCTTCCAGATAACATTTATCTCTTCAGTGGGGCAAATTTGTTTGAGTTCAGCTCCAGCAACAGAAATCTCCTTCGTTTGCTGAAGAGCGATCACTTCTTGCCCTGTTAGTAAAGTTCCCTGAAACATGGATGGAGATGGAGCGTAACGCTGTATTTTAAAACTACAGCACTTACTTTAATACATGTGCCTAAGATACATTTAAAGTTTTAAAAGAATGTATTTACAGAATCATTTAATGTGACTGTTTTCAGATAAATTAAAGTGCCTAATTCAATTCACAAGCAAGCATGTTCATTTTGAAAGCAAGAATTGTGTTTGGTTGGGAAATACTCAAGACTCAGAGCCTTTCAGACTCAGATAATACCTATTGTAAAACCAATATTAATTGAAAACTTTGTAAAAACTGAAAGATCAAATCATCTAAGCCTTTTATAAAATGTCAGATCAGCAAATCACAGCACATGTTGCCGTTGACATAATATGAAGTGTTTCTGGAATGGATGAGTACTTGTCTGTGTTTCTAAAATAAAAAACAAGCATATTATTTCTGTCACATACAGACCGCTCAGATATATATGGACAAAATTCCTGTGAGGTAATGGATAATTGATTACTGAAGAAATTGAAAAATGTAAAAACATACTATACCCCACTACACTATCCCATATATTAAAATATAGTGCATGAGCCATGCATATAAACCACTTTCATGATAGTTTCATGGTGCTTTTGGCATTATTTTCCAAGTTTAAAAGTCTTCATTTGTGTATTATAAAATATTACACATCTGTCTTATGCAGATATTCCTAAACTGTACATGCAGAGCCTCATTTCATAAACTGGGGATTGCCCTTTGACATGTTTTGAAATTGTACAAATTAAACAAAACTGTAACATTCAAAATGCAACTTTTTCCATATTCTAAGTGAATATAGACACCACTTTTCTCTTGAGGATATAAGACGAGGTGTTTAAGGTTTGTTTGGATGTGCATCAGCATTTCAATCCCCCATTAGCTCCTACTGTACCTGCACGCACACACATGAACACAGTGGACGTCCCAGTTGTTGTTGAGTGACTAATGCCACCCTAATGAATCACAGAGATGACGATGAATCAGGAACTTCGTCTGAGAGTATGTCTGACATGTCCATGTATGTCTATTGATTTCTTACTGTTCTCCATTCTGATAAGGGAACAATGGCTGCACTATTTCAGAGTAAAAAAATAACTGTGTCAAGCTTCACTCCTGCACTTGGTAATCTTTAAGTTACTATGTATGGTTAAAAAACAAACAAAAAAAAAAAACTACTATGTAAAGATTACATACTTTTTTTTTTCATGCATTTTGTGACTTAAAAAATATGAATGACCATTCCCAAAAGTCCCTGCATGATCTATCACACAGATTTAGGTAATGTAAAACACAGAGCCACCAAAATAAGATCACATAATACTTGTAATAATCATCACTGTATTTTTAACAGGAAAGTTCTGAAAACCACAGTTGCTAGTTTACTACTTTACATTTAAGCAAAGATGTTTACATTTTTGCTCGGGTGTATAAATATAAATATTTAGGAATATTGCTGTTAAATAAAGGTGCATATAGGTGAATATCTGGGCAAGAAGGAAGAAGTTTGTGTTAAAGGAAGCTGGTAATCCTGTATTTACAGTGTTGTCGGTCAGTTTAATGGTTTACTCAAAGAAACTTGCGACTGATGACTTCACCTGTTGCTCAAACCCTCAGAGTTTTAGGAGTATATAAGTCTCCATCAGCACAGGAGCGTAAGAAGCAACTCTCAGCATGGGGATTCACCACCAGCTGAGTTTTCTTGCAAGCTTGGTGCTTGTTATTCACGCTGGACCGATTTGAAAGCCCGCTGACAAAGATGAAGCCACTGCAGCGGTATGTTATATATATATATATATATATATATATATATGCATATGCATGTTTTGTTTGTTGTTGCTCATAATTTCTCTAATAATTCCACCTTTAGCATTACCTGAAGAGCTTCTACAATCTAACAGATATGACAGATGAAACAACTGCCTTCTGAAGAGAGGCCAGTCCACTGACTGAGAAGATGAAGGAGATGCAGAAGTTTTTCAGGCTTAAGGTCTCTGGAAAGCTGGACAAAGAAACAATGGAGATGATGAAGAAGCCCCGCTGTGGAGTTCCAGATGTTGCTGCGTACTCCACATTTGGAGGCAAACCCAAATGGCAGACCAACAAGCTCACCTACAGGTGTGTGTAATAGCAGTTCTCTTGGTCTCACACACAAAAGAGTGTAAGAAGCAGATACAGACTATGGTGCTTTTCATGGCCGGACACCCGTTCACATTTGTTTGATTTGTTCAGCTATATGCCAGTGATAAATTATTAGCCGCATTTTCCACTGCGCAAACAAGGGCTAAACGGGCCGGCCAGGGCTAACAGCTTCCGATTGTGACCTTCGAGGTCATAATCAAATACACTGTAAAAAAATTGTGATTTTAACAGTAAAAGACTGTAAAAATGCTACAGTAAAAACCTGTTAACAGTTAGTTTCCATACTATATTCGGTGAATAAAATGTAATTACATTTAATGTAATTTTACAGTAAATACTGTTAAAAATACGGTTTTTGGAAGTGAAAAAGAAAAAGTCATTGTATAATTTCCAGTGAAAAACTGTAAACTGACTCTCCCAGAATTCCCTGCATGACGCTTCATATTTGATGTTTTTTCTTTGTTTTTTTCGTATCAGTTGTGTACATTAGGGTTTAATCTTACATCTAATGTTGTTAAATTAATGGTTATTGCATATTGTCACCATGATGGGGTTTAGTGTTTGTGTGAATGACACTGTGCACCTTCTATATAAAAGTATTGCC